GGTGGTTTAGGTGTCAAGGATTTAAGGCTTGTGAACTCAACAATGTAAAGTAAATGGAGGTGGAGGGTTCTTAGGGATTAGGCAGTCTCTATAGAAATATATTATTTCTTCTAGATATGGAGCTCAAATGTGTGGTTCCCCGCTTGGGTGATCAGTTTAAGAAACACATCTTTTTGATGGAGAAAGGGTTCCCTTCTCAGTTCCTCGCCATATTAGTAGTCAGACTAGTTCGCCTCTTTTTGTTCCATGGTGGTTAAGGATGGTTTGAATACTAGTTTCTGACATGACGTTTGAGGTAGGGCGGTTCCCATTGTGTGTCTCTATTGAGAGATTGTTTCTCATCTCGGAGCAAAAGTCTTTAGTTGTCAGGTTGATGGGAAACTGGGTATGAAAGGTTTAGGTTTAGGACTTTAGGTGGAGACATTTGCTTCTTTTATAAAAGGAAGAGCTTTTGATGGAGTTATTTAGTTATCTAGTTTTGGTGGTTAAGACGAGTTGGACAAATGTCTGGGAGTGGATTCTAGATCCCTCACGAGATTTTATTTGGTAAGGACTACCTATGTTAGGTTTTTCTCTTTGGAAGCCGACGGGGAAGTTAGGTCGGCCTGAGTGATTGGATGGTTGTCAAAGATTTGGAAGAGTTAGGGTCTTATGAGATAGTGGTTTGTCTAGGTCATATGGAATATGTAGATCACTATTGCGCTTGTTGGTAGGTTGCACTCTTTTTATTTTTAATATATTTAATTTGTTTCGCTATTAAAAATTTAGAAATTAATTACTATTATATTTAAAGTATTAATTTTAAATTGCAGAAAAAGATATAATATAATTACAAATATATTAGTAAAATATAATAAACGTAGTTGAAATTTTAAAAATAAAAATTATTAAAAAATAAAAAATAAAAAAAAATAGAACGAAGATAATAACTTGGTAATGGTATACATTGTATTTTCGTTAATCTAATATTGTAAGTGGCATTTATTAGAGTACGAGTGAGAAAAAACACACATTAAAAATTATATTAGAAATTAAAAGTGACAATATCATTTGAAATAAATACATTTAGGAAATATGATACATATTATGAGACAGAGACAGAGGTGATTTGAGTCGTGTTTCTTGAACTCAAAGTCAAATTCTTACTATTTATTCAATTGTCACTTGTTGGAAACCCATCCTTAATTAAAACATTTTATTTGAAGAAAAACAATTATCTTTAAATATAATGTAAAATTTAAATTATTAAAAATATTTATTATTATTTTTTCTAAATTATGTTTGATCATTTCCGCTTCGCTATCTCATAGCTTTACATCCTATTATGTGACTATGATCCTTAAAGTTAAGTTTGCTTCTGAGCAGAGAGAATTTAAGCTTATTTCTAGGGTGGGGTCTTTGTATAAGTTGATGGCCAGACTGTAGGTTGTTAGAGTATGGGGTGATGTATAAGATTATTTCTCCAGATTAATCGACATTCTTAAAAAGGTATAATGTTGGTGGATGAAGTGGTGGCTATTAACGATGTGATTGACTTGACTAAGAAATCTAAAAAATTTTGTCTCATTTTTAATGTGGACTTTGATAAAGCGTATGATTCAGCTATATGAGATTTTTTAGATTATATGTTTCTCATATTTGAGTTTAATAATGAGTGTTGGTTATGGATTAAGGCTAATTTGTTTGCTAGTAATCTTAGAGTATTGGTGAATGGTTGCCTAACACAGAAGATTAGTATCCGAAGAGGTTTGAAGCAAGGTGATTCTTGAGCTCTTTTTCTATTTTTGCTTGTGGAAGAGAGGCTTAGTGGTTTGATTTGTAAGGTTGTTAACTTCGACCTTTTTTTGGATTTAGTGTGGAAAGATCTCCCAAACTTATTTGTTTCTCGTCTTTAGTATGCATATGATACACTTATCTTGGTCGACCATTCGATTGAGAACCAATGGAGTTTTAAGACTGTTTTATGGGTTTTGAGCAGTCTTCGAGTTAACTTTTGTAAGAGTAGTATGATATGGGTAAATGTGGACCCTATCTTTTTGGATTTAACTAGTGAGTTTCTCCATTACAATATTAACTCTCTTCTTTTCATGTATCAAAGGTTGCTTGTGAGGGTCAATCCTCGCCTTGGAGCCACCTGGGTTCCTCTAATTAATTTGCTCTCTAATAGGCTAAATTCTTGGAAGGATGTGTGTGTTAGCTTAGGGGGTTCAAGTGGTTCTTCTTAGTTATGTGATTAATGTTATTCCTATATTTTTCTCATTTTTCCTGAAAAACGTATGTGATGGTTTAGAAGAAAATAATTAGGATTCAAAGGAGGTTACTATGGGGAGAAGTCAAAGGATATTTCGAGATCTTCTGAGTTAAATGGTATAATGTTTATAAACTAAGGAGTAAAGGTGAATTAGGGGTTAGAGATCTTTGTTTGATTACTTTTGATCTTTTGGCCAAATGAAGGCAAAGATTGATCTGAGGTGCTTCTAGCATTTGGGTTGATATTCTGCCATCTTAATATGGTTCATTAATAGTTTCTTCTTTAAAAGGTGGGAGGGATTCACGATTATGGTCCTCACCCTCTTGGTGGAAAGGAATGCATATCCTTGGGTTCCAAGAGGAAGATCCCTCCTAATTGTTTGTGGATGGTACTTTTAAGAAAATGGAGTCAGGCCTCTAGACTTCTTTTTGGAAGGATCCTTGGATTTGAAATATTTCTTTTAATTTTAAGTTCCATAGGATTTTTATTGTATCTAATCAATAAAAGGAGACCGCTAGAGTGTTAGGTCAGTTGTTTGGTGGGAATTTGTTTTGGGATTTTAGTTGAATGAGATATTTCTTTGATAATGAGCAACACAAGGTTAATAGTTTCCTTTTTGGCCTTCATGGTTTGACTATGAATCAAGAAAGAGATGATTGGAGTTGAAAATATGCTAGAGAGATTGTATTTTCTTTGTTGCCTCTGGATATAAAGCTATGTAGATCTTATGAATTCTTTTACTCCTCTTCTCCTGATTGACAAATTGACCTTGCCTCTTATCTTATCTGGGTCGGCTGGGCCCCATAAAAGGTAGTAGTTTCTTGGATGTTTTTGTAAGATAAGTTCCCTTCTAGAGAGAATATACTTAAGAGAATGGTGATTGTTAACCCTAATGCACATATCCTATGTGTGGGGTTTGATTGAGTTAACTTCTGGCCTATTTGTTACATGTAATTTAGCTTCGACTGTAAGATCTTTAAATGATTTGGTTGACAATTGGTCATCCCTAGTGACCCTAGACTTCTTTTTAAGTTTTTTTCTCTCTTTAGGTGGTAGGTGGATAAGTATGAGTGGTTATGCTATCATTTGACATGTATATGTCTTGTCTATTTGTACTATTCTAGTTACACTATTTTTTGTGGTTCTTCACAAATGTGAAAAAGTGGAGGAATAAAGTATTTATTTGGCGTGAAAGTGGTTTTTAGGTAGATCTATGGTGAATTCATGTTCTTTCTCTCATTGGCTTCAAATCTCTATCCTCTACCTTGATCAATAACGAATTAAGAGTTTATATCTTAATTTTAGGATTGTTTAGTGATCGTGGCATTTCTTTAGAAGTTTTCATTCAATTGATAGTAGTCATAGTGATGAGAAAACTAACTTATTCCTTTGTCGCATTGGAGTTTTAATCATTTGAATTTTTCTCTAATTGTTTTAGTTTTTCTTTTTTTAGTGGTTCAAGCATGTTTTATTTTATCTTTTACTGTATTATATCTTGTAGTGAGTTTTGTTAAGTATGTCTTGTACTTTCTACTCTCATTTATTTATTTAGGTGAACATTTTGGTACTTTCGAATTTAATTAGGTACCAGTATCCTTAACCAATCAAACATCATGATTTAATACCACATAGTTTTTTTATTTTCTTTTATTTTAAAATGAATTAAAATTTTATCCCAAATCGCACTAAAGGTACCGGTACCCAACTTAGATTCATGGGTATCTAAGAATTTCTCTTTTTTTTATTCTTTAGTATAATATGTATTTTTAAATATTAATATATTAATTTTTTACATTAAAAATATATTTTTTAAAATATAAATCTAATTATTACTACTAATTCATTTTAAAATATGAAAATTTGATATATATATATATATATATATATATATATATATATATATATATATATATATATAGATATATATATATATTATAATTTTTTAAAATACATATAAAATTTGTAATGTTGACATTAATAAGGAAGGAAGTAGTAAATGTTAGTAGTTTTTTTTAGCTAGAGCTATATATCATAGAAATAAAGAAGGGAGTAGTACATATTGGTAGTTTTTTCTTAGGCTAGAGCTATATATATCATAGAAATAGAGTTATTTGTATATTACAAATTATGTCTAATTGTGAGCAAGCAAATTCACTTGTTTCACTTTTTGATAAAAGAACAAACAAAAGAAAAACACTAAACTATAGGTAATATTACTACAACTTTAGTATTCTTTATTATAGATCATTTTGTTAAGAGTCAAGAGCTAAAAACCCAAAAAATTAATATAAACTACAAAATATTTTTATAAAAATAGCACATGAGTTTTCTGTATACAAATATTCAGATAAATTTACCGACACCAAAAAAGAGATTAAATTTAATCTCGGAATTTAGAAACCTGTCAAAGGGAAGTGAATGAACTTCAAAAAGTAGAAAATTAAAAAAACAAAACCCATAAATAAATTGATTCCAGTTTAACAAAGACAAGAAGAACAAACTATTCTTCTGTTCTGTCAATACTAAATTCCTTGAATTTTCTATAACAAAATACTTTTCTTCTCTGCCACACTAAATATAAAATTACTAACATCTTTATCCTTTCTCATTTTACTATTAATTAATAAACCTCTCTCACTCTCTCTTTCTCTCTCCTATAATTCTAACTCATAGAGTAGCTTACCCCAATATCAATAAAAAAGCCCTCAAAACATTGTCACCAAAACCGAAAAACATTGTCAACAACATCATGGGTAGAGCTCCTTGTTGTGACAAAGCAAACGTGAAGAAAGGTCCTTGGTCTCCAGAAGAAGATTCTAAGCTCAAATCCTACATAGAACAACATGGTACTGGTGGCAACTGGATTGCTCTTCCACAAAAAATTGGTAATATTCTTCATTTTTCATATAATAGCAGCAAACCCTAATTCTCTCTGTATTTTTATATATATCCTTTATTTTCCTTGATTGATTTGTTTTTCATTCAACTATGTTTTGTTTTTTAAGATTAATGTTTTTTTGGGTGTTTTTAGGTTTGAAACGCTGTGGAAAAAGTTGTCGTTTAAGGTGGTTAAACTATCTTCGCCCTAATCTCAAACATGGTGGTTTTTCAGAAGAAGAAGATAACATCATTTGTAGTCTTTACATCAGTATCGGAAGCAGGTAAATATACAAACTCTCGTATATATCAAGCATAACACGAAGTATCGGTAAGGCTGCAACTGCAATTTAAAACCTTATATCTGAACTTTTGTTATAATATATTTTGCTTATAAAAAAAATCATATGTTAATTTTGAAGATACTATAAAATTTTAACCTTAAACTATGTTACTTTTTTGTTTTAGTGTATGAGTTTGGTAACTATAGCTACTATATAGATGATTATTATATATATATGTATATATATGGATGTGTGAAAAGTGAAGATCCTTTTTGGTTTGGTGTGAAAGCAGGTGGTCGATAATTGCAGCTCAATTGCCAGGAAGAACAGATAATGACATAAAGAACTATTGGAACACAAGGTTGAAAAAGAAGCTTTTAGGAAAACATCGTAAAGAACAACATCATCAACAACAACAAGCACGTAATAGAGGAAACAACGGTGTTAATATTGTTAAGCAAGAAAACAACAATCAATTTTCTTTATCAGATTTGGTTCAAGAGCATGCATATTTGCCACATCATGTAATGCAAAATTTGCTATCTACACCTCCGCCGCCGCCGCCTCCTCCGTCAATGTTGTCATCATACACAAACCAAGGCTTCAACGATCAAGATTCCATCAGGAAACTACTTATCAAGCTTGGAGGAAGATTCTCAGGTGATTATCATCATCATCATCCTAATTCTAGTACTAATGACTTTGATGGTTTGAATGTCCAATTCTCAAATAATGCTACTTCTTCAACTCATGAACAAGTTTATGATCAAGAACATGTTGGATCTTCTTCTTGTGTTAATTCTTCAAATGGCAACAATCAAGTACAGTTTGTACAAAATGGTCAATACTTCGACTCGGTGCAAGAAGAACAAGGAAAATTCATCCCTGAAATTGATCATTTGGTGTCTACTAGTTTTTCACCAAGATTTGATGGGTTGGAATTCTTGTATGGGGATGAAAACATGAGTATTGAAAATAATAAGATAGAAGGTTCTAATACTTCGTGGGGTGAAGCTACTACTTCAAGTTATCATCACACTCTTGATTCGAAATACCAAGGTTAGGTTGTGATTGGTGAGATAAGAGCGGTTTTAAATTGTGGTTGTGATCGTTACACTACAGAACTTTTATATGGCGAGAACATTCATCTGATATAGTCTGATATAGTTGAAATTACGGTTGCAGACTACAATTTAAAATCACGAGAATGCAGTAATTCGGAGTAATTAATAACATGGTGTATAGTATTATTATAAATTCTGGTATTAGTTATTGTTTGTTTGAAGTTTATTATTACTGACAATAAAATTGGATATTTGTCTACACCTATATTTCTTCTTCTTATTAGTCTTTGAGCTGTTAGTGGCAGTGTTTTCTGAGTATTGTTTTGTATATTTGTTTTTTGTTGTTATAAAATTACTCTTTAAATTTTGGCAGCACAGTTCATAAGGATTTAATTTATATAAAATTACTCTTTAAATTAATGATTTTGTTTTATTCATAAACTTATGATTTAATTTATATATTTTTTTGTTGAAGTATGTTTATAATTTTGTTAGATATCTTGATAAATGTTGTTGTTAAGGTATGATCTGATTTATATATTTTTTGTTGAAGTATGTTTATAATTTTGTTAGATATCTTGATAAATGTTGTTGTTAAGGTATGTTTGATAAATTTGTTGTGTTTATGTTAAGGTTATTTTATGATTTTGTAGATAAAAGTTGTTGTTTGTGTTTTTTCTTAATAAATGGTTTTGTTTTGTTCATAAGTTTATGATTTTGATTACATATATTTTTTTGAAATATGTTGATGTTTTACTTAGGTATGTTGATAAATGTTGTTATTAGTTTATGATTTTGTAAATAAAAATTGTTGTTATTGTATGATGTATTTGTATAGATATGTTAATGTTATTGTTTATGATATTGATAATGTTATTACTTGTACATTACTGTTATCATGTACAACATTCAACATGTCCTAGAAGATGAATTTATTATATCATATGTGGTTTAAGTGTTTTATCAACCCCTCATTTAATGTATAACCTTTCGAATTGAATTAAAAATTAATAATATGAAAACATAAGTTATGTTAGAAAACAACTTACATTAATCAATATTTTTCGAGCTTTCTTCAGCCCGTTATCCATATCTCGCTATTTCATTGTCAGAATTTGATTTAATGCTTCTAGTTCTTCAATGAACACTTTCTTTTTTACTAGTTTATTCTGCAAAGTATCAATTTTGCATAATGAACTAGTATAAAAAGAAATGTTGATTGATGAACTACAAACATTCAACCAAATTCTAACATTCAAGTGGCAAGATACAAATAGTAGAATGTAGAAAGATAAAAAAATATTGATTAGTGTAACTTTTTATTCTAATATAACTTAATTTGTCATATTATTAATTTGATTTAATACCCTTTTTAGTCATGTATCTTAACCTCGAGGTTCATTTGGTCCCTGAACTTTAAAAAGGTCCATATTGGTCTCTTAACTCTTCAAAATGTTTCATATTAGTCCTTTATGTCTAATTAGCGACGAATTTAGCAATTGGTTTTTGAATTTTTCCGTCACTAATAGGAAAGAAAGGACTAATATGGAACGTTTTGAAGAGTTGAGGGACCAATATGGACCATTTTTAAGTTAAGGGACCAAAATGAACCTCGAGGTTAGTATAAGGGACCAAAAAGGATATTAAGCCTATTAATTTCTAAATCAGATTGAAAGGTAATATGTTTATTGGCAAATTAGTGAAATAAGCATTTCACATAAGTTATAATAAACTCAAGTATATATATCACAACAGTTTCTAATTATAATTGTAGTGAAATATTGTATGTTAAGTATTTCACTACGGTTTTTGGTTGTAACTGTGGTGAAATGTCGAAAAATCACTCAAAATTCGGGCACTGTGTATCGAAACCCTTGTCCTCCATATTTAACTACGGTTGTATTTTACAACTGTAGTGATGTGTAATGCGCTACTGAATTTTTACTAAGATTTCCAGCCCAAGGTGGTAAAGCTGACACATACTACCACATCTTAACTTACCACAGTTGATCAACTGCGATGATATCCCTTTACAAAATATGGTGAAATGGCCCTTCCATAATAGTGCCATACTAATCTCCAAGGTTTACTTTTTTTACCTTAGGGATCATTGGTCAATCTTGCTCATAAGTTGCTTTACAAATCAATGACTAAAGCTCATAGCAAGTTTTAACCATAGGTCTCTTTATATATTCTATTTGCTTTTAAAAATAAGGTAAGCAGTTGATGGAAAGACAGTGAATGAAATTATTAATCTAGTGGGAAAGTTGAGAAATGATGCAAAGATGCAAAGAATAAGCTTCTTTGAAAATGATAGTCTTGAATATATGCTCGAATTTTCTCTATGAGCCTATTTGTTCTACTAAACAGTTTCCCGACTATCGAGATCTATATTCAACGATAGCTTAAACAAGGTGATTTCTTAGCTTTTTTTTCCCTTTTAACGTGCATGACGTTGGGTTAGTAGTGACTCGCATGGAGTATGTTGAAGATTCTTTCTTCTGAGGAGGGTGACACACATGGAGTATGTTAATGATTCTTTCTTCTAAGAAAAAGCTATTGTGGATACTCATAGACCTTAAAAAACCATCCTCATGTGCTTTGAGTTGGCTTCAGGTTTACGTGATAATTTTGTCAAGTGTTATGTAATGGAAACCAAAATAGATAAAGCCTTCCCGGGATTGGCAAAAAAGTTCCTTAAGTGTAAAGTGAAGGATATGTTTCGTTCAAGTTTTCTTCTAATGAGGAATGACCTTATACAGGAGCACCACTAGTGGAAAAAAATTTTGTTAAGTCGGTTAAAAATGACTTCTTAAGACGGTTTCGAACCTGACCTAAGAATTGCTGACATAAGAAGTTTCGACTTCTTAAGACCTGACTTAAGACAATGTTATTAAGTCAATTAAACAGCGTCCGACTTAATAAGTCTTGGCTTTCAGATATATTTAACTGACCTAACAAGTCGATTTTTTTTGTAATAACACTTTTTTTAGTGTATATATATATATATATATATATATATATATATATATATATATATATATATATATATATATATTTAAAGAATCGGTTAACAATCAAAATATTTTAAAGATTGGAAGGTTGGAAGTTCATAACAATGTAAAGCCCGTATTGCTAAATTTGGTTTATTAACCAAATTCACAGTTTTTACAAATTGCAAGTTGTATCTGAAATTTACAGCTTGGAAACGGGACTCAATTATGAAAGTTTCTAAAGCTAAGTTGTTACATGAGGAACAAGCCATTACGCAAATCCTACGAAATTCATAGAAACGCGACCATTTGTTTGAATAGGCTTTTCGCATTGAAGCAGTCCCAAGGACTCCGCCGAGTGAAATACATGTTGCTATGGTGCTTGGTATATCTCGCGGTAATCACCTACATTTGAACAAACAATGAATATTCAGTAACAGCTGACGACAGACGATATCAGAATGTCAAACCAATTGCAAGAATAAAAATCAATGGCAATTGTTTTCTCACTTATTCATGACAGGAATCATTTGCTTACCGCCAAATTTCAGAACATAACAATTGTTGGCGGATGGTGGCAATAAATCAATGGAGCCACAGGCATCCGCAGGCAAATCACGCAAGAGAACTCATTGAATCCACAAAGACCAGAATTCCTGCACAAATATAGAGGAATATGTGAATATGTTGGTGAGGATACCGAATACAGAAGCAAACAACATACAACAGAACAATCATCTTACGTTATTGACCCGTACCACGCCCACGACTTCACTCGTCACAACTTCGTAAGCTTTTACTTTGAACAATCACAAAACAACTCCGAGTGTCCGCTGACCCAACTCGAACGATGCCTTCGCAACCTTCACGACAATAAGGGATTAAGGTATCATTCAGACTTAGAATGTACCTTCCACCAGAATAAACCGAAACCATCCACGAAACAAGTTTTGAAGAAAGCTCCTGGAAAATTTCTGAGAAGATCGAGCCGTATCTCAAGTTGAGAACGGATTCTTACTCTTGACAGCCATCATTATCCTGCAATAAGCACATTGGTTTGATAAGTTTTCAACTCGTTTCAAAACTTGTAAAGACAAAAAGAAAACATCAAGAACAACACGTGTACAAACTTAAGGAATGCTCAGATATTGAGGACTTCAAGGAAAACTCGACAAAGCTTCATGGCTATCCTTTCGAGGCTCACGCTCCAACCTGTCAAAACAACACAACTGATAATTAGAATAAACCATTGCAGAAGAAGTTTGGAGGCTAAAAGTCAAGAATTAGAAGAAGCTCATCCCTCAGTTCAACTCATCATTGGGCATAAATTCGAGCGGCCCGGAGGGCGACAATCGAAATGGTCACCGACTCCCTACCGAACATCGAAAAAAATTGAATTTCGGACAAAAGAGCAACTAGTTTCAGACTGCGTTCGACATAATGAAAAGCACAAACAACATCGAAGCAACAACGGCATCCTCATTTCCCTCACGGTTCAAACTTGTAAGTCATCATTACCACATTGAACCTTCCTCGGCAGCATAAAGTCAGCAGCCTCTGAACCGAACAAGCTTCCTGAAAGAGAAAAGGAATCAGTACGATACAAAATACAACAGAGGATCCTCGAGGCTGAATTTCGAGCCACTTTCAGCATGATACCAGCCACAAGAAGTGTAACAGAGATAGAACCCAGTTACTCCCTGCAAAACACAGAAGAAGCATAACAGATTGCAACAAACACAATAGCAGAATTAAGACCAAAACGGGCAAGCCTTTGAAGAGACCGCATTGTAAGGATCAACTCCAACATACATCACCTCCCTGCAGAAGTCACCATCAAGCAAGACAGATCAGTAGCAAAGATCAACTGAAAGCCTAGAATATAATGAAGGAGGTTCAAGCCCTTAGAACTTTAAAGTTCATCACCGGGCATAGAACTCGAGCAGCCGGAAGATCAACGGAGACCGTCACTAACTTCCTACCTAGCTCAGAGATAACATAGAAACA